CAGCCCTGCGGGCGCGGGGCGGCTCGGCCCGAGGGCCCCGCTCAGCAGCGGCACGGTCGGCCTGTTGCTGTGGGAGATGCGGCCTCCGCCGTGACTTCTTCCTGCCCTCGCCACGGCCTGCAAGGAAGGAGACTGGGAGAGTAAGAGCTGCGTGGCGACACCGGTTGCGGAGCGTCCCTGTAACGTTGTCCGGGGACTGTGTGATTTATTTTTTTTTCCTCCACCTTATAAAGAAATCAGTGACTTTGTGACAGTGACATCACCCAGTAAAAAAACCTGCAGGAACTTCATGTGTGCAGACTCAAACTGGTCTCTTTTTCTCCCTCCTGCCCCTCCCCACCTGAGATCGAGGTATTTTGGCATGACAGAGGAAAGAGCCATGTGTGATGGGGACACTTAGCATCATGTTGGCTCTGGATGCATCACGCTCACCTGCTTCTTCTGCTGAGCGGTCAGGAGTTTGTCAAGAAGCACTTTCTTTTGCTTCTGTCCTCTGCTGTGAGCTGTTCACTGACTGGAATAGGCAGCCCAGACCTGACTTTTTGAATTTAGCTTTTGTGTAAGTACTGCCGTTCAGTCGAGGATCCTGTGCTGCTTTCTGAAAGCGAATAACTAGATCCTTTTTCAAACTGCTCTCTAGGCATGGGTACACATACCTTTATATTCTCATGTCTAGAAGACACCCCTGATGGAAGACTTTCTAGGGAGAGTTTCTGACACAAGCGTTTTACAAGTGGAACTGAAAAAGGTGTTATTTAAAGTTCTTGGAGTAGGAGCCTCTGAAGAGTCAGGATGGCTGTGAGCATGGATGATGACGTTCCCCTCATCCTCACCCTGGACGACAGTGGAAGCAGCACCTCAGCCCCTCTTGATGATTTGGATCGAGAGGAGCTGCCTAACGAAAGTAAGATCGCTTTGTCGTTGTTTCCTGCCCACTTGTTTTTCTCTTTGTGGTGGCCGCTCTTTCTTGTGCTTGCCAGGACCTGAAACTCTCAGAGCTGTCATTCGGCATCCCGGTGGCTGCCTGAGAAAAGCAGATCAGGAAGTTGCTTATTATGTTGCTTGTTTACTCACAGCACCCGTATTATGCCAAGAGGGCAGAGGACACTGGATGGACAGGTCCTACCTATACTAACGCACATTTTTTGTGGTTTCTGTGTGATCTCATTGTCCTTAAACTCAGCTCTCCTTTCCTGCACATTGGCCCAGAGCTCCTTTGCTTGGCACTGGCCTGCTGTGCTGTGCCACTGGCCCAAGCTGTCAGGTGCACCAGCTGCAATTATGTCATGTGGGATTTTCCTAGCACCATACAGCATCTGTCCTTTGCAACTGTTGTTATGCCTATTTCTAGTTTACATTGTGATTTTTGCAATAAGGAAAGCTATATGTATGGATAAATCACTTTAATATCTTTATTGTATTCTTATCAAAGAACCCGGAGTACTTTTAGACAACATTCATACTCCTGTTAGCCCCTGGGTTAGTGGGACAGAGGCAGCCTGTGAGTGTTGGGAAGGGGAAAATAAAAGCCACCATCTCTCAGAAGCATTGCTTTCTCCTCGGTGTATCTTCATTAAAGCCATCACCCCGCACTAGGTGAGATAGGAAGGGTGTGTTTGAGCATGTTCCTTGAGTTTCTGGTTTATGTTCTACTTCACCGAATGTATTTGAGCAGTTTTGTTCATGCATCCCTTTGACTTTCAGTTGACATTGCAGGTGTATGCACAGGTCGTGTGATATTCTAACCCTTGCTGCCACAAGCTTAACATTTTTAACAAATAATTTTCTGGCCTAGCATCACATTTTTCTACATTATACCTCTATTCCATACTGCCTCTAGGACTCTGATTTAATTTTTCTCTTGCAGTCGTATGGGTTCCCTTCATTTTCTCCTTCTGGGGCTTCCTGAGCCAGTAGCTAGTTACTGACAAGATTCCTCCTCCTCCTCTTCCTCTCCCACCCCTGCAATACACATCCCTGGCTGAATTGCCCAGCTGACTTTTCTAAGATGTGCTACATTGTTGCTTCATCATATCTGCTCTATTGCATCTGTTTGTCTTTTAAAGTTAAGGTCTCTATTTTTAGGTTAAATGGAAGAGAGAGTGCTTTCTCTGTCCACTGGTATATTTATAGGCTTTCTTGTGACTAATTTTAACCACTCTTCTCTCATCTTTTTCTTCAACCCACCTCCCATCGCTTTAAAGAAGTTGTGTGAGGTTTATAATTTGGTTAAAGCCAACACAACTGTGTTAACGCACAAGCATGAGAATGAAAATATTAATAAATAAGAATATTATACAATCTGCTTCTCTTGAAATACAGGGAAATTGTTTCGGGACTGATTTTGTGCTTCTTAAAAGATCACTGTGTGGTTTTTGAGAATTCATTTCCTGGAATTCTTCAAATGAAGGGTCTCTTGGTATTGAAGAACCGCTATTTTGCTATATGTTTTAATCACTGTTAAAGTTGAATTTGCTGAAAAATACAAACCTTATTCTATGCAAGTGATACTGAATGATACGGAACCATCTGAAGTCAGCGGGTACTGCGAGAGTGGGATGAAAGATGAGAAGAGGAAGGCTGGCATAAACAACTTGAAAGGCACATTTATCTCTGAGAAGCGGGAAGCTTAAATTAGTGAGTGAGCAGGCTGACGCCATCACTTGCAAAAGTAAGCTTGTTTAAAAACCAGAACATGTAGTCCAGCTTTCCTCTTTGCCTGCGAAGAAAATCTACTGTGAAATGCAGAAAAGTTGTGTCTTGTGGAAGCTGTGGGGAATTCAGATGTTTCCCCTCTGCTCTGCCTCCACTTTTCTGCTGAAGACTGAAATGACATTAACAGAACTGTATCATTTCCTATTTTTATTCAGAGACTTGTCTTTTTCAGGAAAAAAGAGTATGTGAGAAGTCCTTTTCAGGAGAGGGAGAGCCTGCCAGGCTGATGATGAGGGCATGGGGACAGGGAAGGGCAGGAGGCTGTTTCCTTCTGGTTTTGTCTTCCATATGCCTAAACTCTCACAATAGAATATTCAGCCAGAATTCAGAGGAATAGCTCACTTGTTACTGTGCCTGACCATCGACTCCTAGGGATTTGGTGGCAGGTCAAACACAAAGCTTTTATTTAAGTGTGTCCCAGATACCAGCTGGGACTGTTTGCAGTGAAGGACTCGTCATCCTCTTCCCAGGTGACACCGAGGGAAAAACAAAGTGGGTGTAACCGCCCTTATATTAAATCATGCATCCAAGGCTGATAATAATTGTTATGCTCTTGTTTTGTGTTGCTATGTCAATGAACCTCTCTAAATTTTAATCCCTACTCTAGCCTATCACAGCCATCTTGCTAAGTGCTGCGTTATCTCTGGGATTTCAGTGTATCACCTCTCACGTTTTTTAAGGCACTCCTTGTGCTTTTTTTTTAAAAAAAACCCCAAAAACAAAACTTGATCCACAATGTAGCTTTGTTAGAGTCAGGTCCTTGGATAAGTGAATTTGTAGTTTTGGACTCTTGATGTTGATTGTCTGGAAGCGCAGACAAGTTACTGGGTTGAACTAAGTAGTAGTGGGGTTTTCTGAAAGCAAGCCTGTTGCAGGTGTAGAAAGAACAGACTAAAGTGCAAGAGTGTATTCCTTTCTGTGTTTTGCAGAAGAGTGCAGAAGAGTCCTCTTCTGGGTAAGTGAATGCCTTGGGGTTAGAGTGAAAGAAAGCTAAATGAGAAAACTGTGTGGAAAATTACATTCTTAAAGAAAATGCCCAGCTGCAAAAATTAATATCCCTAATCGTACAGCTCTTAAGCACTTAATGGGAGAAAATACTTACATGAGGAGGAATATTAAAATTCTGCCTTCCTTGGCTTGTGCTGGGATAAACGTCTTTCAGGGAGCTCCCGGTTACAGCCACAGTGAAAAGTCAGAATTCTGCAAAGCTGACAGGAATTCAGACCACATCCAGAAAAATGTGGTCCTTGTGGTGCCGATGGTTTTCTGACTGCAACGTGTAGGGCTGTGGTGCTGGGTGATTTTTCTTTCAAGCTCCAACAGCAGAAGGAGAGAGAGAAAGAAGTGCTTTTGTCACTTGAATCCATGCTAATTAATACGGTGCTGCCCTTCCCTAGTACATCTTATCTGAGGATCTCTGAGTGCTGTACACATTCTAATTAAGCTTCCCAGCACCTGTCTAATGTGATTGACTAATAATAACTGAATTTCTGTAGAAGGCGAAAATGAGGGTGCAGTCCTTGCATGGCCTTTCCCAAAATCGCGTACTGAAAACGTTGAGAAGCAGCTGGGGCTCAGTGATTTCCAGTCCCTCACCTGAACTCCTGGGAAACATTCAAATAGGGTTCTCAAAATATCTCAGAGTGCGAGGTATGTTTTCCATATACAAAGGCAGCGTGGATAGCCTTGAAACTCTAGGACAGTGTCTCTCCTTGAGCTGATGGGAACTATACGCAATAAATGAGTGCACACTGACTTATCCTGTATTAGATCAGATACAAGATTCTCCCTTGTCTCCTGCATGGAAATTGCTGTAGCCTCAAGTGGAGTTTCAGTGTGTTCAGAGCAGAAAGTACAGCTCGAAGTGTTGTACAGGGAACAATATGATATTGTATGTCTGTTTCTCCCACACAATGGATTATGGCAAGTGGAAGAAGTAATCTTTAAACTCGGGGTTTTTACAAGAAAGCAACAGCATCTGCAATTGAGGTAAAATTGAATTATTGTTTTATGTGTGGGGAGGTGGGGGGAGCAACTGCAGCAGCGAAGTGTGATGTTTTCTAGAAGGATTGCTTGAAAATGGGAAGTTACATCTTTTGAATGTTGAGGTTTCGGCTGAGCCCTTGCAATCTCAGTTTCTGCTGCCTGAAGAGTAAAGTGCTAGGAAAACTAGAGCTGGCCTGGTCTTTTGGGTAGAAAGAGGGTTGTTGATGCATGTGGCCCTGTGCTTATGCACTGCTGTGAAGGAGCGGGTGGCCCAAAGTGCATAAAGAAAATGACATTTCACTGTTGGTGAAGTTGAGGGGCTGCCCAAGGTGTTCTTGGTGAGGAAAGCGGTGACTGCCTCCGAGGCTGTTGGCTGTGCCTGCAGAACGATGTGTAGTGTGCGCTGTGCTTCCTGGAGCCGCGGGAAGGAGGGCCTCTTCCCTCGCCTGGCTTCTGCACGCCGGCCCAGTTCCTGATGGAATGTATGAAGAGGCTTTCAGCAAAACCATCCCTTTTGTAATCAACTGATGGAAACTCATGGGATGTTTCTGAACACAGAACCTAATTACAGCATTAATGGATGTTGTATACAACAAACTTGTCTTTAAAAAAAAAAAAATCATTTCCTAATCCATGGGTATGCTTTTGGGGGTGGCCCAGGACTGGGGGCAGTCAGTGTTCTTTTGAGACATATGAGCCACCTGGGTTTTGATGTGTTCAGCAACCAATGCAACCTGAAGTGATGTAATTCTCTTCTGCGTTGGATCTGGCTCCAGAACACATTTCTATCAGCCGTGAGAGAAAGTAAGTCTGTCCATGTAGTCCACAGTTTCAGCTCATCTGGTCAATGAGTCCCTGCTCTTCAAACTTCTCTGTTGCCTTCTTCCTGCGGCTGCTCCCTGTAGTGCCGTCTGTGGACATAAGAGATTTCCATGTGTAAAACAAGTGTATGTTTTCTGGGGCTGAGGGAACAAACGGAGAACAAATACCTGACCTTTGGGGAAGTGCTGTGACCACACAAACTCTTAGCAGCTGTGCTTCTTGAGGAACCACTTCAGTTGCTGGGAAAGCATTCTGGCTTTGCTACCTTTGAAGGAAAATAGGCATTTTTAAATGTCAGCCATCTAGTAGATTTAATAAATCCTTCAGGATCTGTAGTTTTTGATTCCTGTGTGAAAGCAGGGATTTCAGGGATGGTTATTT